CTTTATGGTGATCAGTATTCATTGATCACCACCAAACAAAACTGTCATCATCTTAAGTTGGAATGGTTGTAGTTGTTGTCTTTCTTTCTTTCTTGCCCAGCAGATCATCATTATAATTATCATTATAATTTTATTTTAAAATGATCATTAAGTTTGTTAAGATTTTTAAAGTATTACTTAAAACCTTTAATACTTCTCATACCAACAACGACTGCAATTGTGGACAGTATTTATTGCCTGAAACTTCTTTTTAGTTTTTTTTTTCTCCTTTACAATATTATTGATCATGAGAAAAATATTCAGCAATTGGGAGATCATCACACATACATACACGCCACAATGTTGGAGAAAAGAAACCAAAAGTCATCAGAGGAGTTGAAGAAGAAGATGATGAAAAAAAAAAATACCCAACAATAACGATGCAAAAACTACAGAAAAAATTTTGTCTTCTAGATCAGCTGCTGTCAACATTGTTGAATGCGACTGGAATCTGTAGCAATTGTTGACAGTTTGAATTGTGAATTGTCCATATGAACAATGCAAACACAAACAACGACAGCAAATACAACAACAAAAACTTCCAAAGATTACAGTGACATTAAAAAGGAGATGATTTAACTGACAACCAAATACTTCAATTCAATGAATGAAGAAAAAAAAAAAAAACAACGACTTAAACAGCACTACAGCAAATATCACCACAACACTTTGACAATTTCAAATTGTTGCAAACATTATAATTTCTCAGATTTGGAAGAAGATATTTTTAAAAGGTTTCATTTACTTAAGCCGAGTTTAGAGATTTTATGGCATTTGAACAGAAATATTCTAATCGATTCTAATTGGAATCTTCAAATTGAGTCAATAATCGATATCAAATCAACTTAATTCTAGTTGCTACAAATCGATTCTATTTTGGTCGATCCCCATTCTACTTGATTACAATGGAATCTTTTTAAGTTATTCTTAGGGAATCATTCTCTTCTTCTCTTTTCTGTTCTAGTCGACTCCAATCGTCTTAATACGAATCGATTCAAATCGAGTCTATGCTACATGATGTCAAACAATTGCAATATGTTCGTCCGATTTCAATTGGCATTTAACTAGTCGTTTCCAATCGAATATATTCTAATCGATTACAATCAATTATTGATTCCAATCGATCCATTTATACTGGTAGATTCCAATAGACTATATGCTAATCGATTACAATCAAATGTTCATTCCATCGATTATCTTTGATTCTATTCTAATTGATTTTAATTAGCTCTATTCTAGTCGACTCCATTTCTAGTCGATTCGAATCGACTCTATTCTATGTGATTCCAAACAATTCCTATATGTCAATTACTTACTCCAATCGATCCATTTGAACTGGCCGATTCTAATCAACCATGTTCTAATAGATAACAATTAATTGTTATATTCGATTATATTCGATTACAATTGACTCTATTCTAATCGATTCTAATTGGCTCTGTTCTAGTCGACTCGAATAGATTCTATTCCAACCCTAGTTTACTCTATTGTAATCGAATCCAAGCGGTTTTATTAATGTATATTCTAGTTGATTCCAATCGATTTCAATTCACACTATTTCCAATTAAATCCCATCGGATATATTCCAGTTTCCAATCGTTTATATTCTCGTTTCTTCCAGTCGATTACATTCTCGTCGATTTCTTGAAACAGTGCTCACAAAGACAAAATTCTAAAACCAAAGTAAAGCCGGATTAAGCTTGAATTGAAATGTCAGAAGTATCTATTTATTTAATTTATTTATTTAGCCAACGGTTTCAGTTACAAATCAGCAGCCAGTTTTCAGAAGTAGTAATTTACTTTAAGCTTAAGATTATAATTATTTGTAATTGAACTATTAATATGCCACACACCGATGTAGAAACACACGATTTTATATTTACTTTAATGGTACACAGACAACAGACATGAATTGAAATCAACATTTATTCTTAAATACATTTCTAAATTGTCACTCGAATTGATTTGGTTTTACAGTCATTTATTCAATCATTTCTTCTCATGCAGGTGATGACGGCTGACTGATCTTTTGGCCAACTTCTTTATCATCATTAGTAATTTACGTCTAATGACAATTGGTAACACGACTAAATCATTAATATATTTATATGTATATACATATGTGAGAGGCAACAATACTTGCAAGTAAGTAATAGATTTAATTAAAATTATGCTGTGATGGTTTGAATGCTTAAGGAGCTGTTTTTGTTTGTTTGCAAATGAAATGGAAATTGCTTTCTATAAATGCTGTGTTTAATATATTTGAAATTTACAATTACTCAATGTGCAATCGTCATGAAAATGTTAATTTGAGAATTTTAAAATACAAATGTGTTTTTCTTGTAGTTTTCCTAAGGGAATCATGAAATTGAAAGGAATTATATTAAGAAATGTATTGAACAAAAGTGAAAATAAAGCTATTTTAAATTTCAAATTATTTTATTGATTTTATACTGTTATGCAACAAAAATTTTTCTTAGAAATTGCGTCTATTGAACTCTATTATCGTTGATTTCAGACAACTTTTCTTTATTCGTTTACATTGCATCTAAGGTTTTGATTCCAAAACTGTTCTACTAAAGATTCAATATGAATGAATATAATCAAGTCGGTTTCAATTCGTTTACATCGATTCTATTCGAGTCTATTCGGTCGATCGATATTGATTACAATCGATCCTATTTTTATCGATTGAGTTTTACCCATTGAGTTTATTCTTGCGGATACCATTAGACTCTATTCTGATCTATTGTAAATGACCCTATTTTAGTCCATTTGTCTGTTTCCTAGCCGATTCTGTTCTACTCCTATTTTCCTACTATTTTCTGGTCGATTCCATCGACTATTTTCTAATCTACTCCAATCAACTCTGTTGTAATTAACTAAAATCGACTCTATTCTATTCAATTCCATTCAACTCTAATCTATTCGATTTCAATAGACTCTACATTAGTCGATTCAAGTCGACTCTGTTCTAGTCAATTCCATTCTAATCGATTCGTCTGTATTCGATAGACTCTCTTCTAATCGATTTCAATCGACTTTATACTCGACTTTATTACACTACTGTAATCGATTCCACTCGACTCTATTCTAGTCGATTCCACTCGACTCTATTGTAATCGATTTCAATCAACTCTATATTCGACTCTATTCTACTCGGTTCCAATCGTCTCTACTGTAATCGATTCCAATTAACTCTATTCTGGTCGATTCCATTATTCGATTCCAATCGACTGTGTTCTTGTCTATTGTAATCGACTCTATTCTAGTCGATTCCATTCAACTCTATTCTTCGAATCCAATCAGTTATTCTTGTGGAGTCAATTGACTTATTTTAATCGATTCACATAGACTCTATTCTAGTCGAGACCAATCGACTCTATTCGATTCTATTCAACTCTATTCTTCGACTCTATTTAAAAATTCCATTCGCTATTCTTGTGGATTCTATTTACACTGTTTTAATCGATTCCAATCGACTCTATTCTTGCCTATCCCAATCGACTCTATTGTAGTCGAGTCCAATCGACTCAATTCTATTCGATTCCATTCTAATCTATTCTTCGACTCTATTTTAATAGTCTCCAATCGATTATTCTAGTGGATTCTATTGACTCTACTTTAAACGATTCCAATCGACTCAATTCTAGTTGTTTCCAATTGACTCTTTTCTATTCGATTCCAATCGAAGCTATTCTAGTTGAGTCCAATCGGCTCTATTCTATTTGATTCCATTCGACTGTTTTCTTGTAGCGTCCAATCGATTCTATTCCATTCGACTTATAGTCGATTCCAATCGATTCTACTATAAGCGATCGACCATTCTTGTGGATGCATTTGACTCTATTGACTTTGTTCTAGTCTATTCCAATCGATTCTATTCTTGTCAATACTACTCATCGAATCTATTGTTATCGATTTCATTCAAGTCGATACCAATTGTGCCCTATTCCAGTCGATTCCAACTATTCTTATCGATTATAATAGGTTATATTCTAATTGATTACAATCGACTCGATTTCTAATCGATTACAGTCGACTCTCATGAATGCAATTGGTTCTATTCTAATTGAATTCAATTGACTCGATTTCATTTGAAATACCAGTGATCTTAATCTAATAGATGCTAAACACTCATTCATGTGGATTTCAATAGACTTTAGTCCAGACATTTCCACTTAGCTCAATTGCTGTCAGTTCCATCGACTCCATTTAATCGATTTTGAATTCACCACTCTTTTCTAATGCAGTCAGTCGAATTTTCCTTCGATTCCAATTGCCTCTATTCTAGTTCGATTCCGTTGAATGGCAATCGAACATCTTTTCTGTTACGGTTCATCATTGCCCCCAGCTTTTAGAAGCTTTCTAAAGTTTTTTTATTCTAACCCTAAAAGAAAAACAATTTACTTTTTTTATGTTTTTAATACAAAATTTTATTTTCCATTTTATGTTTTTTTTATGCAATTCTTTTTTAAGTTTTTTATGAGTTTGTTTGTATTTTTGTAAAGATTTCATTTCAAAATTCAACCAATTCAGAAATTCTCTATATATATATATATAAATCGACATGATATTTATGTAAATAAATTAATTATAAATATAAAAAAAAAATTCATCAATAATAATACAAAAAAATAAAAATAAAGATTATTTATATATAAAAATAATAATATTTTAAATGTATATATAATTAACTTAGACATTTACTTAAGTACAATAATTACGTATTAAATTAAGTATTTTAACTTACAAAAAAAATATAAGAACTAAACTAATTATTAAGTAATTACAGCTAATAATTACAAATTAAATTAAATTTTTAGTACATAATAATTATGAATAATATTTACAAAAGTTTTTATGTATATAAAAAAATATATAATTAAACTTAAAAATACTTTTTAACTTCTTACAAACATTTTTCAAAATTCAATACAAAATTAATTTTGCATCCAACCAACAAAATTCAGTCTTTAAAAACAAATTAATTCGTTTAATTAATTTTCGTTTTTTTTTATTATTATTGTGGGAAATGCATTTTGTTTTAGTTTTAATTAAAAATTTTAAACAATTTGTTGCAAAATTGCTTTAAATTTATTTTACTTAATTAGCTAATAAACTGGGCTTTAAGGTTTCTCATGTTAAGATCTCTAGTTTTTAAGGGAGTTATAATGAGAGAGAGAGAGTTAGAGATTTAGCAAGAGTTATAGAGAGCAAATTACTCAGGCTTTTAGGTTTAAATTTAATACTGCTAGAAAAGTTTTTTTGTTTAAACTTTGTTTTTTTTTTTTTAAATTAATTAGTAATTTTGTTTTTTTTATGTTTTTTTATAATTTTTTTTTTTTTTTGTGTAAAGATTTCGAGTTATTTTTTTACAAATGAGAGTTATTTATAGAGAATAGGACGGTTTGCTTGTTTATAAATGTAAATTTTATGTGTTTTTTTTTTCAAAATAAATTATTTAAATCCAGCGCTTAAGTAAAGTCTAAAGCGTTTTTAATTTTTTTTTTTTTTTTTGTATTTTTAAATTTTTTTGTTGTTTTAATAAATTAGACCACACAATTTGCATTTTTTTTTAAATTTTTTTGTTTTGCTTTAAAAATAAATTCTTATTGACATTTACAAAGTATGGCAAATTAATTTTTTGTCAAAATCATTCATTGATTTCATTGTACTCGTGTGGTTGGCAAATTATTAATTTTTTTTCATTATTTACGGCAAGCCAAGGGATTTTTTTTATAAATACATTGTACAAGAAAAATTGTTTATAAAATTAAAAAATTAAAAAAAATATATATATATTCAAACAAATAACAAGCCTTGTTCTAGGACAAGGTCTACTTTTATACTCTGAATACGCTTAAAGAAACGTATATGCTGTGTGTAAATGTGTGTGTGTAAGATGATAATGATGATCATGCAGATGATGATAATGTTGTTGTTGTAGATGATATTATTGCCAGCGCCAGCTGTGCTGTTGCTTTACAGACACGTGTGTATCGTTTTCTTCGTTCGACACAATTTACACTTGACTTCACAACACCAGTGGAATGTGCAGGCACAACGTTCGACTACCACCACTTCTTGGGTACGATAGCCACGGCCACAGCACATCAGATCACAACCATCTACACCAATCGAGGTATCATTACACTGGCGTCCATGTGTACCCTGGATGCCTAGGCGCAAGTTTTTCTCACAGAATGAGGGTGAGGGTTCCAAGTAGACAATGTCTTTGGTGCCTGGTGGCTTATGATCGGGATTGTGGGGTTTCAATTGGAAGGAATATCTAAAAAGATAATAAAATAAAGAGAAGTAACCGTTTAGTAAAGAAGTTTATCAAGGATTTTAGTCAGACATATTTTTTTTCAATAAAATTAACAGTTTTGCTAAACTTACCTATTATTTTTTTTGCCCTGTCTTTGTCTGCCACGCACTGAATTGCGCGATACAGCATTCGAGGAGGTGGGTAAACTATTGGGTGACGGCATATTTGGATGATGTTTCACTACATGTTCATCATTTAACATTCTATCCTCATCGTAAGCATTAGGACTGGCCGCATTTGGGGATATAACCGATGATGAAGAACCCACTGCATTGGGACTGTTGGCAGTACCCACAGCATTAGCACTACCGCTGGGTCTTAAACTATTGCTCATCATGACACGAGAGGCGCCATCGAAACGATCCTTAAGATTATCGCCAATAACACGGAAATTGGCCAAACGCATCCAGCAGGTTTTCACCGTACAGGAACCAGACATACCATGACATTTACATTCTTGACGCATTTCAGCTTGTACATGCTAAAATAAAAGTACAGAAAAGAAATAAAGGAAAATTAGTATTTTTTTAAATTTATTTATTTTCTTAAGCTTAAAATGACTTCATTAGTAAATCTTTTTGCTTTTTCGTTGCCGTGTAAGCTCAAAATATAATTTATGTGCTGCTCATTTTTGACATTTTATGGCGTATTAAGAGCCACCCTTCTGTGCATTAATATGTTTTCCACTTAATTATTTTGGCTTTAAAAGCTATAGGTTTTCTTTCTTGCTGCAGTTTTGTGGCAGCAACTAAGAAAACCACGATCAGGTAGGTTTTTTTTTCAAAAAAAAAAAAAAAAAAGCTTTTACGGATTTGTTATACAAGACGCGTGCAACAGTCTCTGGGGAGTAGAAAGAAGTTTGTAGAAAAAAAACCAAAACATGAGCATGATCTGCACATTTGCAACATTATTAAAAACCAATAAATGTTGTTGTTGTTGTTGTTGCAGTTGCTGTAAAAGAACAATAATCACCAAACTACTTGGTGGGGGGGTCTATGTTGCTGTTTTAACTTCAACAACAAAAAATTGCATATGGCCAAAAAGTATTTACCCAGCATGAGGTCAATTTTTATTATAACTTGCTGTTGTTGTTGATATTATTACAACGCACCATACAACATATTTTAAGCTTTAGTTTAAAACCTTAAGAGGAGGTCGTTTGTATGTTCATGTTGTTGGCTACAACTTAAAAAAAAAAACAAAACGACTTAATTTTTTTTTATTTTTTTCATTTTTTTGGTTTGGTTTAGTTGCCGTGGTTTTCAGGCAATTGCCAATGCAATTTTCTGTAACACAAACTACAAGCTCAATGGCATATTAATTGCTAAACAACAGCAACAGCTTTAACAGGCAGCGAACATAAACGATAACAGCAACAAAATAAAGTCATCGTTGTTGTTAAAGCTTAAAGTTAATGAAACGTTTTAATATGGGGAAAGAGATAACAAAGTTGCTATGTAACAATTAACGGCGTTGAAAAGAAGCTAGAAAAAAGCTTTTGCTCTTTACTAAACTATATAAACAAGTAGTTTTAAACAAAAGCTTTAATATTTAAAAGAAAATTTTACTAAACGCCGTTAACAGATTTTGAAAATGCCAAAGCTTTCATGTTTTAAAGAGAGCTTGAAAGAAGCAACTTCAAAGCAAAAGCTTACATAATGTTTTGAAACTTTTGTTTAATGAAACTAGTTGAAAAGGCTTTATAGCAGAAGTTGATCAAGGACTTCAACTTTAATTTAAACCGGCGGCCTTTAAACGTTAAACTATTTGCTAACTCTGAAGTTTCTTGCCTTAACAACAACTGAGAATGAATATTGCATGCGCCTGATCATGTAATAAAAATTGAAATTTGTGTTTTTTTTAGAGCACAGAGGATTAGTAGAAAAATTTATAGCAATATTAAGGATTTTTTTGTTTGTTTGGCATTATATAGCTTTAAAATTAAAAGCATAAATGTATATTAATTGTAATAAACTCTAGCAACTGTTGAAATGTTGAGAGACAAACACAAAAAAAAGCTGTCAACATTTTTAATATATGATCCTCTCAACAGTAACAACTCCCAATACTTAAACAGCATGTTATATAAAAATTTATCTTAAAACTCAAATAGTAACAACAGTACTTGTTGGTGTTTTTGTTGTAGTTATTGTATTACCCAAAGTACTTAAAGAAGTGTAAGAGGAGTAACTCTTCTACTAGTTTAAAGGGGCGTTTGGTAATATATCGTCAAGTAGTTTAAGAGTTTTTAATGATTAGACGATCACTACTACTACTAGTTCAAATAGTTTAGCAATAGTTTTTTAGTCAGCATGTGGTCTACAGGAGTCTAAGGAAGCTTTTTTTTGTTGGTTAAACATTAAAGTTATGTAGTTGTTGGCACAATTAATGAGCATCACACACACACACGCACGCACACAGTAAGTTGTATAAACAACAATTTGCCAATATATTAGATAGTTTGTTTTATGTTTAAACTTAAAGGGGGTCTCTGGCTTTATTATAAACATAAAATAAATACTTATATATATAGAATACTTACCGCTCTGCCAGCTTCGTTGTTGTGTAAATTCATTTTTTCTCTCAAATTACGGCCACGTTCACCAGTATCAACGAATTCGCGGGAGAATTTGAAACCGAAACCAATATTATCAGAACAGCCACCCCATTCCCAATCTCTAACACCAGCCACACTGCCAGCTTGAGCATTAGCTTGAGGAGATCTCGATTGATGACTGTAGTCACAGGTGCAGGATTCTATGGAACCCTCACTGCAGGCTCTGGCAATGGAGTGTGTAACAGCAGCACTAGTGATGGCATAAATAAAACCAGTCTCACGGCAACCTAAAAAAAGACCAAGAAAATGTTTAATTAATTTGAGGAGTTACTTTAAGGTGGTCGGTCGGTCAGTCGGCTCTTAACCATTTTAAAGCTTTTCTTGTCAAATTTATTTTCAAAATTAAATTTTGACAAGATAACTACTTTTGCCACCCAGCTAGTGGATTTTTCAAAATTTATGAGTTTTATTTCATTTCAGACAAAACAAAAAAAAAAAAAAAAATAATCTTTATCATGTTTATGAATAATAGCACTTGTCTTTAAAATGTTTCTTGTTGTTGTTTTTTTCTTAATTTTATATTTATGATTTACATTGTTGGTCAATTATGACACTTCAAGTAATCACTGCCACCAAATAATGTTTATTCATATTTATTTTTTATGACAATGAATAAGAGAAGATGAGATTGAGATGATCTTGATCATCAAGTGCCTAGCTAGATGTAGTGGTAGTAGTTGTTTATAGTTTGTCTGTCTGTGATGCTGCTGGTCTCTTTAGGTCCCCTAAAGGATTTGTTTCGAACAATGGAAATTGAATTTTTATGTTCATTTCAAGTGTTTTTGTTTTTTTTTTTTGTTTTCTTTATGTTTTTAGTCAGCTACTGCTAGTTTTTGTTAATGTTTATCAGATGTGCTAAACAATATATTTAAAGAAACCAGGAGACACACTAGACATTTATGACAAATGTTGTGTTTTTTTCATTTTTCAGGAATGTAATAAATTTCTTAAAAAGGAAAGAATTATTTGAAAATTTTAAGTAAAATTTTTTGAAATATTGGGTATTATGATAGAATTTTTTTGGAAAATCAATAAAACCACTCAAGGAACTGAAATTTTTTTGAGCTAATAACAAGTTTAGTTAAAAATTTGTAGTTTTGTTAAGCGCTGGTTATGTGGGAATCTAATTTGTTGAACTTAGCTTTGTTTAACTTAAACTTAGTTGAACTAAAGCTTTGTTTAACTTAAACTTCGTTAAACTTAAGCTTTGTTTAACTTAAGCTTTATTAAACTTAGGCTTGGTTAAACTTAAGCTTTGTTAAACTTAAGCTTTGTTAAACTGAAGCTTTGTTAAACTTAAGCTTTGTTAAACCTAAGCTTTATTAAACTTAAGCTTTTTTCAACTTAAGCTTTATTAAATTTAAGCTTTGTTAAACCTAAGCTTTATTAAACTTAAGCTTTGTTAAACTTAAGCTTTATTAAATTTAAGCTTTGTTTAACTTAAGCTTTGTTAAACTTAAGCTTTGTTGAACATAAGCTTTGTTGAACTTAAGCTCTCTTTAACTTAAACTTAGTTAAACTTAAGCTTTGTTTAACTTAAACTTTGTTAAACTTAAGCTTTTTTAAACTTAAGCTTAGTGAAACCTAAGCTTTATTAAACTTAAGCTTTAATTTAGCTTTATTAAACTTTAATTTTATAAAATTCTGCTTTGTGAAAGTCAAGTTTTGTTTAAAACTCTAGTTTTATTGAACTTCGATTTGTTAAAACTCTGCTTATGTTAAAACCTACTTTACTTAAGCTGCTTGCAGACCTACTTAAAGGTTTCTTTTTAAAACTTTAAACCTAATTTTTGTTCAATTTAATACTCATATTGAATATAAAGTCCTTTTTTATACAAATATCATATGCATATATGGTTTTGGATTTATATTATATAAATCCCTGAGAACTAAAACACAAAAACACTCACAACTTAAGTCTTTGTCGAAACCCAAAAAAGGGTCACTTTAAAACACACACACAAACTACAAATGTTTTGTTTAAAACTCAACAGATCAGCAGTCTGTGCAAAGAATTTAAACAAAAAATCAACATGCTTAAAACTCAAGGGTGCTCTGTTTAAAGATTTAAATAGAACAAAAGGATCACTTGGCAATTTTACTACTGCTATTTAAAAAAAAGAAGATCAATTACAATTGCACAATCAAATGAAAACAATTTAAGAGCAATATTAAAAAAAAAAGATTTAAATAAAACTGACCACGCCTCTTGAAATTTCAAAAAAAATCCTTTTTTTTTGGAACGGAAATCCGTTTGGTTTAAAAGCAAAAACTATTTATTTTTTTAACAAAAACATATCAAATTTCCCCCAAAAAGGAAGAGGCGTTTAAATAAAATTCTTTTTTTTATGCCCAAAAAAAAAATTAGTTTTTTGTTAAATAACTTAATTTCAGCAAATTTGTAGCCGTGTGTGTTTTGTTATCAGTTCATGATCTTGTTTAAATTAGTTATTTTGTGTAATATTTTTATTTATTTGAACAACAACCGCGCCCTTTTTCACTACATATTTCAAAGTAAAGCATTTCATTTTCAGTGTTTTTTAGCAATATAACGCCTTTTTTAATAAATTTTTGTTTTATTTAACTAAAAAACACAAAAACATTTAAAAAAAGATAACATGACTCACTTGCTGTTAAACAAGTAATAAGTTTTATGTCATTCATTAAATTGTTGTTGTTTTTATTTTCATATTTGAAATTTTTACTTAAAAAGTGTTTAACTGTTAACGTGCAGGTATTTTTTGTATAAAGGTTTGAGTTGTACCTGTTCAAAAAAAAATATTTAAAAAAATATCACAACTTTAATTTCTTGGGTGTTCTTCCCTACTAAGACTTTAACAACTGATAAATTTTTATATAGTTTTGCTGGAATTTGTGGCTTTATATTACAACCTTTAACTAAATATTTATTTGGGTTTGATTTCTAAAGAAATTTTCTTTCATCTATTTGTATCAATAATCTTGTAATTATATTTGTTTTTTGTAAATTGTTAATATTTGTTTGTGAAATGTTAAGGTAAACATTTAACTGGAATTTGTTACAATTCTATTACATAAAGTACACATAGTTAGAGAATTCCCCGAATTGTGTTTTTGGAGTTCTAAAAATGGTTTTAATTTCCTGTTTTTTTAAAGGGCGTTAATTGACATTAAACTCTTCAAATTAATACAAATTACAAATGACATTTCATCTGTCAACACTTAAAATAAAAAAAAATTTTGTCGTTTAATTTGAAATTTAGGAAGTAGATATTTAAATTTAAAAAAAAATCGAAGAAATTTTCTTTAAAGTGAAAGAAAAATTTGAAAGCTTTATATAATTTTGCTTTAAAAAGCTTTAGAACCAATAAAATTGTTAATAACCTAATCTGTAACAAACAAAATTGTTACAAAAAACTTTGTTTTAAAGTTTGCTGAAAATATAGCTTTAAAAGCTGTAAGGTTTTAAAAAACTCAATTAGCTAAGAAACTAAACAAAAGCTTTAGAAAAAGCTTAATTTTTTTACAACTAAACTGATACCGTGATAAATGTTAACTAAGCGCTACTATTAGCTTTAAATCTTTATATAAATTTTACTTAAAAAGCTTTAAAACTTCAAAAAAATAAGAAACAAAAGAAAAATTTTATAGCTTTATATAATTTTGCTTTAAAAAGCTTTAGAATTAATAAAATTATTAAAAACCTAAGCTGTACAAACAAAATTGTTATAAAAAAGCTTTGTTTGTTTTAAAGTTTGCTAAAAATTTAGCTTTAAAAGCTGTAAGAATTTAAAATATTCAATTAGCTAAGAAACTAAACAAAAGCTTTAGAAAAAGCTTAATTTTTTTTAAGAATAAACTGATAGAGTGATAAATGTTAACTAAAAAGCTTTAAAACTTCAAAGAAGTAAGAAGCTGATTGAAAAGTCACAAAAAGTTTAAACAAAAGCTTAATGTTTGCAGAAACTTGTAAGCAGTTACTTGTTGGCGTGATAAATGTTAACTTAGCGCTACTATTAGCTTAAACTCTTTATAGAAATGTTACTTAAAAAGCTTTAAAACTTCAAACAAATAAGGAGTACTTTGAAATTTCATAAAAAGTTTAAACAAAAGCTAAATGTTTGCAGAAGCTTGTAAGTAGTTACTTATTAGCGTGATAAATGTAAACTATTAGCTTAAAAGCTTTATATAAAATTTATTTAAAAAGCTTTAAAACTTTAAACAAGTAAGAAGCTTATTGAAAAGTTATAATAAGTTTAAACAAAAGCTTAAATTTTGCAAAAGCGTAGAAGTAGTTTCTTGTTAAACATTACAAACTTTTTAACTAAATAGTTTATAAACATATTTGAACAAAAGCTTTAAAAAAGCTGGTTTTTAAGCTAAGTTTAAAAGTTTATATTACAACAAAAGCTTTTAATGTTTTAGGCCAAAGATTTTATAATATTTCAAGGAAATTTTTGTCTACTTTTTTTAATTAATAATAGTTTGTCATATTTTTGGGAAGTTTAAAAATAAGCTTGATTAATTTATTTTTTTTTTTCTTCTTTTTTATAAATTTTTCTAATAGAAAACATCATATATCAAAAAAAAATTTGTTTCCTTAGAACCAAAATTTTCATAAATATCTTAATTTATTGTCTAGGAATTAAAAAACTAAAAATCTTGTGTAATCTTTTAAGCCAATTTGTTCTGCTAACTACATTTTTTTTTAAACCCCTAACAAAACTAAATTTACTACAAAAGTCAACGCCCAAAGGAAATTTACTTCTATTTTTTTGTGGAAATTTTCAAATCTCTAAACCTAATTGATTTAACATAGAAACCCAGATAGAAGAAAGAAAAAACTAACAAGCAATTTGCAAACTGCAAAGTTGGTTTAAAGAGAAAAAAAAGGATGTCAAACAAAAGAATAGTTTAAGTAATCAAGGCGTAACAAATTCAGCTACAAATTCTTACGTTTAAATTTAGTTTAGTTCAGCTGTTAGATAATTTATAGAAAAAAGGTTTAGAATAAAGGGAAAACATATAAATTTTTTTGTTTAATGGCCAGCAGTAGTTTAGGCGGGTGTTAATGGTTCTTTAAAAAGGTGTTAATTATTTTCCTATAAAAAGTAATGTAATTGACATTAAACAGCAAAAAACTATAAAAAAAGAAATCTTACAAAAATGTATCACTTAAGATACTTGACAAATCATAAAATTGTAGTTTATGACTAAAAACAATTTCAATCATTCAACTGTACTACAGTTTTATGGAGTTTTGAAATAACGAAAACAATTCTACAATGAGGCGTTTTGTAATAATAAAATATTGAGTTTATTACTTAATTGTGTTGAAAAGACAGGACACAGGTAATAAATTCTTAGCTCATGCCACATTTGTATAGCCCTAACACACATACTCTTTCATTCTTCTTTTCTCCTCTCCTTTTGCTTTCATTGTGACTTTTTTTAAATGTCATAAATTATAAATATTTCAACAATACCTTAGTAGGTTTTCATTTATAAAGTAGCAAAATTTAATATTTCTCGAAAATTAGCTTTTTCCCGTTTTTTTCCCAAAAATTCATTCTTTTAAACAAATGTTTGAAAAAAATTTTGATTGATTGTCAAGTTGTGTTTATGTCTTTGTTGAGAGAGCCAGCGGAGAAGAGTGTGGGCTTTGTTGCAAAGAAATGCACAAATGTCTTATTTAATTAACATACACTTGACAAGCTGTCATTATGTCAATATGATTTTACAAGAGCAACAACAGCAACAAACACCACAACAATTCTTTAGAGAAACAAAAAAAGAAACAGAATTGAAGAAAACCAGAGTTATTGTTTTCGTTTTGTTTTTATTGGGGTTTTCTTTCACAAAAAAACATTTCAAAACAATAAATGTCATTCATTCGAAATTTTGAAAATTTTTCAAAATTGCAGAAATCCAAAGAAAAGGCTTGAACAATGAAAATTTGGATTAGTGGGAAAAGAATTAAAAATTTTTGGGAAAATTTGAAAGTGTTAAGATCTCGAATATTGAAAAATTTTGGAAAAATTCGAATTTTGAAAAATTTGATTATTGAAAATTTTATAAAAATTCGAATATTGAAAATCTTCGACAAATTCGAATCTTGAAAATTTTAGAAAAAATCGAAAATTAAAAATCTTTGACAAATTCGAATCTTAAAATTTTTTGACAAATTCAAATATTAAAAAATTTCGTAAAAATTCAAATTTTGAAAATTTTTAAAAATTTTCGTTTTTTTAATTTTTGATTCAGATTCAATAATTACAATTTTTTAAAATTTTAATATTAAATATTGCAATTCCTTTTAAAATTTAAAATATTGAAATTTAAAAAAAATCGAATATCGAAATTTGTAAAAAAAATTCGAATTTTGTAAAATTTTTAATGAATTCGAATATTGAAATTTTTCAAACTTGAACATATTAAAAAAATTTGATATTGAAAAATTTTCAATGAATTCGAATATCGAAATTTTTGAAAATTTTTTTAAATTTGAAAATTTGCAAAAAATTTGAATATTGAACATTTTTTAAATTTGTAAATTTTTTAAAGAATTAGAATATTGAAAATATAAAAAAATTCGTATATTGAACATTTTTTAAATTTGAAGAATTTTTAAATATTTCGAATATTAACAATTTTTTAAATTTGAAAAAATTTAAAAATTTTCAAAAAATTTGAATATTCAAAAATTATTTTAAATTTGAAAATTTTTCAAAAAATTCGAATATTAAAAATTTTTTAAATTTGAAAATTTGCAAAAAATTGGAATATTGAAAATTTTTTCGATTGGAAAATTTTCAAAAAAATTAGAATATTGAAAATATTAAAATTTTTTAAATTTGAAAATTTTCAAAAAATTTGAATATTGAAAATTTTTATTAAATTGGAAAATTTTCAAAAACTCGAATATTGCAAATTTTAAAAATTTCGAAAAATTAGAATATTTGAAAGCAATTAATGTTGAAAATTTTGTTGTTGTTTTTGTTGTTAATAATTTTCATTGATTTAAAGTGTTTTTTGTGTTATTTTTGTTGTTGTCTTTTTGAGATTTTAACCAAAAAACCACATAAATTTTCCACAAAAACAAAAATGCTCAACACTCAAGGATTTTGTTAATGTTGTTTTGTTGTTGTTATTTTATATAAAAACCACTTTAAACAAAGATGTAAACTAACATATCAACCTCTTTTTTTAAGGAAAATGATTGTCATTAACATTTTAGTTTGAAGACTTCTTATAAAGAAAAAAAGGGTACCACAACAACAACAACAATAAATATGTAACATATGCAATATTGTTGTTATGATTTTATGAAATATCAAATTACAAAACAAGCTAAAAAGTACTTGACCAGAACAACTACATTTTTTTTTTTTTTTTGAACAAATAAAACTCAAAAGGACAACCCACAAACATAATTTTGGTTTCAAAAACTCAAGCGCCACTTTTATAACTAAGAGCCTCAAATTACCAACTGTGGGAATAATTTAAAAATGTTAGTTTTGTGATTTTCTTACCTCTATCGACAATTTTTCCAAATAGATTTTTGCCTCTTAGAAAATTACGCGTTGAACAATTCCAACGACGATTTCTAAACTGATGTTGACATTCGCTTATAGCCAAATTGGCTCCCTTAACTAAGGCGCCCAAAACACCGGGATTGTCACGCACCAAACGTCTTTGTTTTCTTCTTAAGGTTGTATGTATGGCGGGATCAACATACATAATACCCGAACTAATGGGTGAGATATTATTTGGTTCACCTACTTTGGCAATGCCCCTGTAAGAAGATAATAGTTAGAAAAAAAGAAATAATTAGAAAATGTTTGTATTTAATTAAAGGTTTTCTTAAATAAAATTGTTAAAAAAATTTTAAAGCTTGAGTGATTTTGTTGAGGAATTTTTTGTGGTTTGTTTAAAAATTTAATTAGGGAAAGTTTTTTTTCTTTTTTTGGTCTTGTTTGAAGTAAAAACACCTGATTTGGTTTGATTTTTTTTCTTTTTGGTAAAGAAATGAAAATTTTGTTAATAAAGTCTTTGTTTTTTTTTTAAATAATTGTTATGTTTTTTTTAAGAAGTTAAGTAAGCAATTGTTGGTTTTTTAAACTAGTTTGAAAACCTCACACGTTGTGGTTTAGTTTTTGTTTTAATTGTTAATAATATATGGCCGCCGTTTATAAGTTTTATGGTTTAATTTATTTTAAACATTAAGCTTAAGTTGTTGCAAAATTTAGTTTGAAAATTGCTCTTACAATTATTGAGACAATCAATGTTGGTTTGCTTAGTCTGAACAGAGTAATACTCTAGGGGTTTGTTTTTTTTAATATTTAAGCAGTTACAGTCTCCTAGGCAAGTAGTTATTGTTGTTTTTGCTTAAACTTATAAATATTTAAAAATTTAATTAATTAGAAAAAACCAATAAAGAATTTTTCCTTTTTCCTTTTTATAAATAAAGCAAAAGTTGTTGAAAACTTTTTTACAAAAACTTAAACTTTTATGTTAAATTTTTTTTTGTATATTTCTTCTAACAAATAGTTGTCACAATTTCTTTTGTTTATATGTATTATTTTGTCCAAGAAAACGTTAATAGAATATTTAATTAAAATTCAAGCTTAAGATTTCGTAAGCAACAGCTTCCGTCCAAAATTAAAAGAAAAAAAACTCAAAAAGAAATTTTTTTGTTTAAACTCACACGTTCATAAAACTATGTTACAGAGTTCATGGCATGTGCTGATGATGGCTTACAACTGTTTTGTTTTAAATTTAAAACTTTTTTTTATAGTTAATTTTAGTTTTTACTACTTCAGCTGTTTTTTTCTTCTTTTTTGTTTCATCAGTTAAGCCTCAGTCCCTTGGTCTAGCATGATCAGCTGAATAGTTTTGTTTGTTTTATTAATACTACTTTTTTTTCTTGGCTTTAAGTTAAGTGTCTCAGTTTGTTTTTTTGTCTGTTTGTTTTGTGATCTTAAGTCATTTTAGCGGAAGTGCTAATTTTTAAAGGAAATATAAATCAATTTTTTTTATTTGGAGATGTTTGTTGTTGTTTTTTTTTCTTGTTTTTTGAAATAAACTATATTTTGTTTATATTAAAACAAAAATTTTATGTTTCTAAACAATAAAAAAAGATTTAAGACACCAACTTGCTTTAAAAGCCTCAAAATTTAAATTAAAAAACAAAAGACTTAAGCAACAAGAGTAAATTATCTAAACAACAATTACATCAATAAATGTTTAGGAAAAAACTAATAGAAATGAAAATTTTAAAAGTTTCGAATAGAAATTAGTATAAAATTTATAAAAAATATAAAATTTTTAATTAATTAAAAAAAAATATACAAAAATTTAACAAAATTTTCCAATTTAGAAAAAAAAAATTTTGAAAATTTTTATTAGAAATTAAAACATAAATTTAAAAAGATTTTGAAACAAATTTTTTAAAATTTTTTAAAAACAAACAAAATTTTTTAAAATTTCCCAAAAATTTCAAAATTTTTAATAAAAATTTCTATTAATTTATCCCTCAGCTTTAAAACTTTTCAAAAACTGCTTTTTTGTTAAACTTACCACCACATGGAACCTCTCCCCCGGCCAGGTTTATGTTTAGCCTCGGCTTTGGTTAATGCTAAACTGGCCAATAAAACCGTTAAAAGTCTTAAAATTGTAAATAAATCCATTGTGTGTTGTTGTTAATGTGTTTATTTAATTAATTTAAAAATAAATTTTGAAATTCTTATTTTTTTTTCTACTTAATTTAAAGGCAATTTAATGCCTAACACTTTTTTTTATATATTTGTTGTTGTTTTTCTTTTTTTGCTCAAAACACCAGCTAATTTTAAAAATTAACACTTTTTTTGTAATAAATAATCTTTTTTTAAAAGCAATTTCACGTTCAATTTAAGCCGTTCAATTAGAAAATTAAATAAACTTGCAGTTTATTTCATTTAAAAACATTTTTGTTAAAAATTTGTTTTCTGTTAAAAGCGTCGGGGTTTTTTTATAATATTTAATGTAAAACAACTTTATCTTTTATTTTTTCAAAAACTTATAATCATTTTTCTTTAAATTCGTATATTTTTTATATTAAGATTTTCTTCTAAAACACTTTTATTCATAAGGTTTTATTATTTTATTCAAAATTTTCTTGTTGTTCATTTAGTTTTAGTTTTTTTCTTTATTTCTTGTTAAACCACGAGTAGTTTTAATTCTGTGTTACCCGGTTTAGTGCCAACATTAAACTGATTGTGTTCGAGTTCTTTTGCTACACTTCAATATCTGTCGTTTTTTTTTTCTTCTTCTTGTGTTTTCAATTTCATTTCATGTTTTGTTTTGTTATGTTTCTTACATTGTGTGTTTTCATGATTGTTGTTGTTTGGTTTATTTGTTTTTGTTTTTTTATTTTGTATTTTTCTCATCATCACACACTGTGCGTTCGTTCATCTCTATATGTTTGTTTTTTTGTGTTGATGATCGTCACATTAACTAAAACCAAAAACAAATACTAAACTCTGACACACACAATCAAATACACAAAACAAAACCCATACTCACACTCACACACTTAGTAAAAACAACAATGAGAGTGCAAAAAAACAAACATAAACGCCTTCCGTTTTACTCTCGTCTTATGTGTAAAAGAGTAAACATGTTGTTTTTTCTTCTTCATCTATCTCTTTTTATCGGAGAGCATTGTGTTTAGCAAACAAGTAAATAACGATCTTGTATATAAATTGCTCTCTGTGTTGTTGGCTTAACCAATAAGAATTGTTTATGGCAAGTCTATTCATGTATTAACATGCTTGTTTATATATTTGTTTGGTTTGCTTTGTTGTTTCTTTGCTGTTGAGGAGAAAATTTGCTAAATATTGTTTTTTTTTATTATACAAAAATATATTTTCTCATACAGTTGGGTGCAAAGAAATAGTTGGAGCTTTTTTTGGGTTTCATATTTTACTGGAATAGGATAGATCGATTTATGTATGTATATGGTTTAGGTGTAATAATTTTGAATGATTTAATTTTATTTATCAAACATAATTTTGTCTAATTAATCGCTACCGCAAAGGTACTACCTATGTAACTCAGTTTTTTCGCTAAAAGCTCTCATAGTTTTTTATCTTATAACATAGCTGGTCTGAACTAAATTTTGACACTTTTTTAGTTAGATGCAGTAGAATATTGAGCAACTTAGAAGGTCCCTGCAAAAAATCTTTAAATTTTGGTAATGAGTGATCTAGGTAATGTAGTTATTTAGCACATTACCTAGTAATGAGTAGTAGTTATCAATAACGCCAGCAAAATCTTAAATTACCCGGTAAGTAGGCCAGTAATATTGGAGGAAAGTGTAAGTAGTTACTTTTTGTTTGTCGGTGACCAAAAAATAACTGGTTACAAATATGCTTACCCGACTTTCCCAGATTTTTATTGTTTTTACACAAATGTTATAATCTATTTAAAAAAACTTCTAATATCGACTAGGGTTTTAACCATTCCATATCCCTTATACGCTCTAAACAATTGGCTACAAATTATCTAGAGGTCTGTCCAAAAGAAAAAAAGTTAATGGTTCAAATCCTAGTTGAAATCCTAAAAACTATTCCAAATATTACTATAAAATAACTTCTTCATGTAACACTGAGTAAACGGATAGACTAATAAACATAGAAAATATCTATAGAGCCGGGTTTAAGTTCGGTAAAGTCGGTTAAGCAACCATTAACTTTTTGAACCTCGTCAAACAAAAATAATAAGTTATTCATCCCAAAAGTAAGTGAAACTTCCAATACCTTCCAATATTACTTGACCTGATTACCGGGTAAGTAAAGTTTTTCTTGGGTATTTAATTATCATTGTATGTGGACATCGTAATCGGTGCCGCAAATAAAATTTCATACATTTGCAACGAACATTTTTTTTGTCGAAAATGTATGAATTTTTGTTTAAGGAGTTGATTTCGGATTGCTTTTAGTAGCGAAGCTTTGATATTTTGTTTCAGAAAGGGTATCGTAATGTAAATCGCTATGTAACGTATTAAGAGAATAATTGAAAAATAGGTATTTTCAATATTTTTTCTTAAAATTTATGTTTCTTTTTAAAATATTCTTTCACTTAAATTAAATTTAGCGCAAGAAATTATATTTTCCCAAAAATCCACAGTTCACTTAAAATGAAATGTTTCAATAAAAATTAAATTCTTCTCTAAAAAGTAAATTTTCTACTTAAAATTAATTTATTTTTCATTAAAAATTTATTTTTCAAAATTTTTGTCACTATAAATTTTTTTTCAATTAAATTTAAATTTTCACTAAAAATCCAGCTTTTTACTAAAAATACGATACTGCACTAAAAATTTTAGTTTTAAATACAAATTAAATTTTTCAATAAAAAATTCATTTTTCGCAATTTTTACTAAAAATTAAATTTTCAGCAAAAATTCCAATTGAGATTGAAAGCGAAATAGAAACCGCCTTCACTCTTCGGTGCAAGTATTTGTAATAGAATTCCTATTCTCGAAACTCTGAATATAACACTTTTTGAATAGAAAATTTAGTGTATAACAGTTCTTCTGAATAAAATTTATGTTACAACACTGTCCTTAAAGCTTTTTTGTATGTAAAAGAGTTTTGACTATAGAAAATTATGCGTATAACAGTTTTTAATATTGAAACTTATATTTACAACACTTTACTTCTATAGGAAATTCTGCGTATAACAGTTTTTTAAGGAAAACATGTTTGTATGAAGGTATGTGTAAAACTACGTACCCATAGAATATTATACGTATAACAATTTTATTTATAGAAAATTGTGTGTATAACAGTTTTTTATACGTAAAAATTATGTATGTAATAAATTTTCTATAGAAAATAACGTGTATTGAAGTTTTTTCAAAGATAATTGTGTGTATAACAGTTTTTCCTATGGAAAAATGATGTGTTAAATCCACTTTCTATAGAAAGTTATGTTACTTAAGGTGTATAACCGTTTTTCTTATAGGTAATTTTTTTATAGCATTGTTTTATAGTTAAGTATACATTTAACTTTTTTTGTAGAAAAATATGTGTATAACAGTTTTTTCTATAGAAACTTATTTGTGTAACAGTTTAAAGAAAATTACTTACAACGTTTTTTCCCTACATGATATTGACATTAATATTTATATTAGAGAAACACACAATCTGTTATAGAAAAAGTGTTATATGCTGAGTTTTCTGTAGATTTTTTTCTTATGGAAAAATTTCTATAGAAAGTTATTTCTTTATGGAAAATGTTTGTTGTATAGACAAAATATTGTCTATAACAACTTTCTTTAACAACATTTTTGTATAACAGTTTTTTCAATAGAAAATTATTTGTATAACAGTTCACAGAAAATTGCTTACAACGTTTTTTCTCTACAGAATATTGACGTCATTAGCATTTTTATTAAAGAAAAACACAAGCTGTTATAGAAAAAAGTGTTATATGCTGAATTCTCTGCAGAAAAAGTGTTATAAATAATTTTTCTATAGAAATTTTCTACAGAGAAAGTGTTATTAATCATTTTTTCTGTAGAAAATGCAGCATATAACACTTTTTTCTTTAAATGTTAAAATGTTAATTCTGACAGAATCGTTTGTTTTTTAACATTTTCAAAACTTGAGACTTTAGACATGATAAATTTATCATAAAGCAAACTATTATTGCTATTATTTTACTAGCAACTGTTACATTAAAACATAAATACCTAAATTCCAACATATCTACAAAAGTATTTATTATAACAATTATAAATGTAACTTTTTTAAACTTCAAACAATAAAACTTTTTTATATAAATTCCAAAAGCAAAATTTTCTCATGTAAGAAAAAAATTCGGAGTTCGGTCCAGAAAAATTCGGAGTCTTGCAAGTGCATGTTGCAAGCAGTTGCTCTCACTGCTTATGTACAAAAAAAAAAACATTTTATATACCTAACGATCAATACTCGCTCTTTCTCCTTATTTTGTTTTTTTTTTTGACTACTTTAAGACTTCATTATGTTTTTGTGTTTGTTTGCTACTAAAACTAATTGGATTCTATATTCTTGCTTAAAGTCATCATCCTTCTCTTTTCTTTTCTAACAACCCACTCTTTCTGGCCTTCTAATGGAGTTCTTTCTTTTCTTTATTTCATTAATGAAAAAAATACCTTGATATTTTGTTCACCTTACAGATTTTGACCAAAAATATATAAATAAATATGTAGTAAATAGATACTTGCAACATAGGTACATAACTCTATGGTCAATTAACAATAATTTTAATTGGCTTTTTTTCTCATGATCATTATTATGATCTTTTCTCCTGTTTTTTTTTCTGATATTAAAGTTGTTCCTTTAGTTTGTTTGTTTTATTAACTCTCTTAATCTTTTTAGTTTGATTTAAATTTCTGTTCTTCTTTTTCTAACATTTGTTGCAAGTTATCGATGTGAACCATTAAAAATATTTTTATTGTTTGTCATAATTGTTTTTTAATGTTTTAATTACCTTTTTACAATATTTTTTTGAGATAAATCGTTTCAGAATTTGTTCTTTTTTAACTTTTTTATAATATTTTTTATATTTCTTTTTTAATCACTATTATTAGAGCATTTATGTTGTTAAATCTGTGTTTTATTTTATTAATTGAGAGTAGATCTTAAAAATTCTGTGAAGCAAACATGTCATGTTGGAGTTTTTTTAATGTTCTTAAGTTATCTTAATATTTTTTATTATTAAGATTAGAAAAAATCATAAAATTATGAATAAAATGGGAGCATTTTTAGATTCGGGTTTGTTAAACATTGGTTTAAAATCGTTAAATTCATTTTATTTATTGAATGAAATAATAAAATATGTATTTCTAGCTTCCTTGAACCAACTTACTATTTTTATTAAACTTCTACTAAATTATCAAAAATCTTCTTTATATTTTAATTTAAAGACACTTATCTCAAGGGTAATGCTGAAAATAATGACCTTTCATTACCAAGTCATGCAAAAAGTAATGACTTTGTTTTTTTTTTTTTAAACTAAAAGCATCTGTTAAAAATTAAAAAAAAAAATTCAGCTGCAAAAATTTTTTGGACAAATGGGAAATTCTGTAAAAACAGACTACGAAATATCCCCCTATAAATGCATAAAAAATATACCTGGCAAAAAATCACTAATCTGGAAAAGTCAAAATTCAGATGTTACGCAAACTATTTGCAAGGAAATGAAGTCAAGAGATTAAGAAATTTCT